GGGGACCTTGCTGTTCTGGTTGACTCATTGGTACATTGAGGACTGTATTTGCCAATTAAGCCATTTGGGGCAGATTATATGGAGCCTACATTCCATGGAAAAAGAGAATGATGATAGAATCATGCAGTACAGAAGAGGCCGTTCGGCCCATCCAGTCTGCACCAATAAAAACGACTCTCAATCTACACTAGTCCCACCTCCTGCACTAGGCCTTGGATACTCAAGTGAATGTTGACACTTCACCTTGACACTTCAAATGCTCATTCAAGTACTTTTTAAAGGTTCTGTGGTTTCCCACCTCAACTACCCTCCCCAGGCAGCACATTTCAGACCCCACCAACCTCTGGGTGGAAAGAATGATCCTCAAATCCCCTCCTGCCTTTCGCCTCAGAATGGCACCCCCTTGCCAACCAGTATTGTGAACTGGCGAGTGAAGCCTCATTCATTATTATTGGGTCTTTTCCCCTCAGCTTCTCCAAACGGACTCCATGTGGGTGTATCTCCTCACTGCTGCTGCTCTGCTTGCCGTTTGGTGGCTCATCAGAGACCGTCAGAAAATCGGAGATGTCAAAGACAAGTTTGTCTTTATCACCGGATGCGACACGGGCTTTGGCAACCTCCTGGCGAAGCGACTGGAAAGGCAAGGATTCTGTGTTCTTGCTGGCTGCCTGACCCAAAAAGGAGTGGATGGCCTACAGAGGAACAACTCATCCACACTGAAAACTGTCCTCCTGGATGTGGCTGACTGCAGCAGCATAAGGAAGGCAGTGGACTGGGTCCAGGCAGAGGTGGGAGAGAAAGGTAGCCATGAGCTTAATGCACTGACCTCGTTCATTTCTTGTTCCTTTAACACAGGGGTGTGCACTGTGGCGAACGACAAAGCCACTTCAGTTCTTGCGTTGCTATCACCATTAATAGACCATGATGCTGCGGCCAAGTACGGCAGGTCATGTGGCACAGACCAAATGGACATGATCTATGTGGGCTTCGGTAAGGCATTCGACAAGGTTCCTCATGGTAGAGGAAGGTTAGATCACATGGAATACAGGAAGAACTAGCCATTTGGATACAGAACTGGCTCGAAGGTAGAAGACAGAGGGTGGTGGAGGAGGGTTGCTTTTCAGACTGGAGGCCTGTGACCAGCAGTGCACCCCAAGGATCAGTGCTGGGTCCACTGCTTTTTGTCATTTATATAAATGATTTGGATGTGAACATGGGAGATATGGTTCGTGAGTTTGCAGGTTACACAGAAATTGGAGGTGTAGTGGACAGTGAAGAAGGTTACCTCAGAGTACAACGGGACCTTGATCAGATGGGCCGCTGGGCTGAGGAATGGCAGATGGAGTTTAGTTTAGATAAATGTGAGGTGCTGCATTTTGGAAAGGCCAATCAGGTCAGGACTTATACACTTAATGGTAAGGTCCTGGGGAGTGTTGCTGAACAAAGAGACCTGCAGCTCAAAGGACCCACATGGACAGCAGGAAGTTCCAAGTGCTTGACGTTTTCAAGGTGGACATTCGGCTCATCATGTCTGCACCAATTCGATCCCCCAGTGCCAATCTCTTACCTTTTCCCCATATCCTCACACCCCATTTTTGTCCCAATAACCATCCAACGCCCCTCTTGAATGCCTCAAGAGCATGGCCTTAATCATCCCAGGCACGTTATTGCCATTGCCGCTGAGCGGTTGAGTCGAAGAAAAAGCTCCCAGTGCTTTCCCCCTCACTTCCCTTTCGTTCCCTCACTTGATCCTGTGCCTCAGTCCTTGTTGCTGCCCTCCCAATGCAGTGAAGGCTGCTGGCCTCCGTCATGTCTCACTTCCTGCTCCTCCCTCCTGCCCCCCACCCTGGGATGCACGGTTCCGAACCGGGCCGTACTCCCCGAGATGGGTTCGTATTTGCTCTCCTCAGGGAGGATTGAGCCTGACATTGTGTCGCTCCCAGGTTCAGGTTCACAACCGGACGCCAGCTTTGTGAACCATCATCTCCCAAACCATCCACAACCTCATCACCTCAGGTGACCTCCCACCCACGGCCTCCAACCTCAT